TCTCTCTCTCTCTCTCTCTCTCTCTCTCTCTCTCTCTCTCTCTCTCTTGCTCTCTCTCTCTCTCTCTCTCTCTCTCTCTCTCTCTGGTTCCTGCTCTACATAGTTGAGTTTGGACTTCTTGTTCCTGTTTCGTGAGTTTGCCCCTTATAAGAAAATATATATGCTCTGTCTTCTAGTTAGCCTAGTATTTCTTGACCCAAGATAGATTCAACACACTTGATCTCACACCTCAAGAATTATATTGAACAGATATGGAGAGAGAGGAAAACCTTGTCTTGTTCCTGATTTCAGTGGGATCACTTTGAGTTTGTCTCCATTTAGTTTGTTAGCAAGCTGTTGGCTTGCTGTATATTGCCTTTATTATGTTTAGGTATGTTCCTTATATCCCTGTTCTTCCCAAGACCTTTATTATGAATGGATGTTATATTTTGCCAAAAGATTTTTTCCGCATCTAATAAAATGACCATGTGGTTTTTAATTTTCAGTTTGTTTATTTGCAGTGCATTTGTTTAAAAAAGCCACTAATACATTTTGTTTCTAAAAACAGTCATCACGCAAGCCATTTGACTTGGGTCTAAAACAGTGATGCTCATGGTCTGCTTAACACATGCAGTGTAGGGACAGTGTTCCATCTCATGCCGCAGGCACCAGATAGTGTGACATTTGTGCAGAGACTCTCAGAGCAAGGTTATGAAGATTTAACCAGATATTGTACGTGTTACATGGCATTAACTTTTCTGTACTGTTCTGCACCATTTTAAAGACTGTTTTGTATGTGCTATAAAGGTATAATTTCATGTCTTCCCCTGGGTAAACACAGGCCTAACATTTCTACATGGTTTATAGATGTAAACATAGTCCAAATACCAAGCATAACATCATTCACTGCAAATGTGCCTCTTCCTTGCTGCATCTACCGTTCACACAGCACAGCACAGGAGTGACTGTCTCAGGCCTATGATGTCAATAAGAAAATAAGAAGCCAGAGGCACTTAGGAAGATTCCCTAATCTTCCAAGACCCTTTCTAGACAGCTCACTTTGGGAAGTAGAGTCAGAATTGCTTGTCTGTTCCACCTGGTGTAGGACAAAAACAAAATGCAGAGACCATAGAGACCAGCCTGTGTGTCTCAGTGGTATCTCAGTGTGCCTGCCACATATGCCAACTCCAAAGGTTATTCCTGACATTGAGCCACTTGCCTTCTCTAACAGGAGAGGAGTCCTTAGACTGTTGCTTACAGTCCTACTTCTGAGTGCACCCCACTAAATCCTCCCAGAGAAGAAAAACACCACTTCAGCCAAGTCCAGAAAAACACTGGGGCCAGTAATGCTTGACCTAAGAAGTCCAAAGGTGAATTCATTGATCCATGCAAGATGACTCAACAACCTGACCTGGGCAGAGTTGTCCACCTCTGTGGACCTCAGATAAGCACAGTCTGGTCCTTTTAAGAAGGTAAATGGAAGGTGAACTCTGAGAAAATATTTAAAAAGGAGAATGGGAACTAGAAAGATGACTTAGTAGTTGGAAGCACTGGGTGCACTTCCAGAGGCCTGGGGTTCTATTCCCAGCATCCACATGGCAGCTCATACCTGTCTGGAACTTGAAATCCAG